CAGCGGGTGCTCATGGGACCCTGCAATGACCGCGCCTCCTGCCTGGGCCACAGGAAGGCCACCAAGCCTTCATGCCAAGCACACTTGTGCCCAGCTTTCTGTCCAGGCTCCATGAGAGGTGCAGCCACCAAGGTCTGGAGACCGGGGAGGCCGAGCAGCCTGCAAAGATGTGAAGCACGGTGCTGTCTGCTCGAGGTCCTCACAGCCCCAGAATCACACAGAGCTCAGGGCACCACACAGGCCTGTCATGGGTGGATAAGTCATTTCTGGCTCTGCAGCAGTGCAAGAGGACCCTGGGCGACAGGTCGGCACCCCTGGAGGGTCCCTGAAGTGGGAGGTGGCCTGGCTAGCTGCTGGTGCTCTCTTCCAGTTCCGGACCTTTGACCCTTGCAAGCAGCTATGGTGCAGCCACCCTGACAACCCTTACTTTTGCAAGACGAAGAAGGGACCTCCCCTGGATGGGACCATGTGTGCACCTGGCAAGGTGAGTTGGGGCAGAGGGCAGGCACTGTGACATGCACAGATCTCCAGGGACAGGCTCCGCAGGGCCCTCAGAGTGGGGCCAGGGGTCTTCTCAGGGGACCCCTTCCTCATTTCCAACAACCCCACACTCCACAGCTTCTGCCCCGTGCACTCTTTCTTCTACGGGAGGGAACCTGGTGTCTGAGAGTTCCTCAGTGTGCTTCAAGCCCCACTGCAGGAATCCCCTCCTCTGAGGACCAGTTTCAGGGTTCCTTCCATCTCCCCCTGCACACTGTGGGTGACTGGGTCACCTCATCTTGAGGCCAATATTGGCCAACATTCTGGTGACCACGGGATCCTCAGGCCCAACATCAGGCTTGGCCTTTCTATCCTCTGGCGCCTTGGTGTTTGGTCCCTGGTGGGCAGACTTGTCCCTGGAGGTAGCTGGATGGCCACCTACCAGCGCCTGCCTGCTGCCCCAGGCCATCTTCCCACCTTCCCACCTCCTACTTCCAAAGCAGCAGAACAAAGGGCTTCTCCTTCCAGCCCAAACTCCGGGCCTGATTCTCATTGGTTCAGATGAAATCGTACTCCCACTCCTCGGCCAAGCACTTGCTAGGGGGCTGGCTTATGCAGGTGAACCTAAGCCTAGTCCAGGAGGATTCAGCCCAGGGAAGACATGCAGACCCAGCAGCATCCAGTGAGGCCCAGGAGAGAACTCCAGCACATGTCCCCCAGAGTCAGGCCTAGAAAGGCACCCAAACCATCTGAGCCTGAGGTTCCCACACTGCAGGTCTTAAATTCTGCTTTATTTTAGAAACCCTGGTAGAGCTTCTTAAAGTTATGGATTTCCAGGTCCACCCTGAAGATTTTGATTTGGGATGAGGACTGAGAATTGTTTTGTTTGGTTCTTTATTTGTAAAATTATGGTAAAGTTCACATAACTTAAAATTCATCACTTTAACCACTTTCAGTGGCTTTTAGTACATTCATAATGTTGTGCAACCATCACCACTATCTAGTTTCCAAAACTTTTCATCACGCCAAAGAGAGACTTCATTAAGCAGTGGCTCCTGATTTCTCTCCTCTCTCCAGCTCCTGGCACCCACTAATCTGCTTTCTCTGTCTATGGGTTTGCTTATTTTGGAATTTCATATAAGTGGAATGATATAATATGTGCCTTTTGTGTCTGGCCTTTTTCACTTAGCATAATAACTTCAAGGTTCATCTGTGTTGGGAGCAGATATCAGTGCTTCATTCCTTTTTATGGGCAAATAACATTCCACTGTATGGATATACCACATTTGTTTATCGTTTGATGGATATTTGGGTTTTTTCCACCTCTTGCTATTTGTGAATAGTGCTGCTAATGAACATTCACGCGTATGTTTCTGTTAGAAGACGTGGGAAACGGTATTTTTAAGAGGTGTCCCGGGTGATTTAGCTGTGCCCCTAGACTTAATGAACTGTCAGAAGTTGGAAATGAAATGTTGTTAGTAATGCTCCAGGGACTTAGTAATGCCAGAACTGACCTCGTAGCCCTGCTCCCCACAGGAGCTCGAGGGAGGGAACGGGGCCCCAAAACATTTGCTATAACCCCAGTGGGGAGCCCAGTAAGTGCTAAACTGGTGAATGAGACTAGCTCAGCCTGGCCTCCTTCCCCGGTCTGCCCCTCCAAGTCCAGCCCTGGGTGGAGAGAAAGAGTGGGAGCAGACCCTGCACAGTGTGCTCGCCCAGGGGTGTGTGTGGCTGGTCTTCACCCACAGGACCACTGACCACTACAAAATGTGGGCCAAAGAGTGCCTGACTGCCAGCTGATTGGCCCACTTCTCCTGGGCGGGGGTTGGGAGTGGTCGTGGGGTCTGGTGAGGAAGGTGGGCAGATATGGCCAGAGTACCAGTTCTCACAGAAAGCACTGACTCGGTGACGACCTTTCACTCTTTTTGGTAGTAGGATCCTTCATTCATTTAGCCCAGTAAAAACCCCATCATTTTATGTATTAAAAAAGTCTTGTGCTGATTGAGGGGGTGGAGCTGGGGCTTAGCTCAGCCTGCCCTCGTTCACAAGGAGCATAGGTAGAAAGCTGACCTAGGTGAGGGATTCCTCGTATGTGTGTGGAGTGGGGCTGGAGGGGCAAAGGGAGAGAGGAGGATGGGAAGGGCACCTCCCGGGGGGCCTATCAGAATCCTCTGCCTCTATGAGTTTCTTATTGCAATGTAATCTTATATCTGGAAAGCAATCATCGTTTGTCTCTCCCTTTCCTGCAACAACAGCCACAGGGCCCAGGAGAGAGGAGAGGCAGAAGGGAGCAGGGAGAAAGTCTAGGCAGGTTGGAGAAATAGCAGGTCATCTCAGGGACCAGGGCTTTGCCAAGCTCAGCTGTCCCTTTCCGTCCCTCTCTGCCCCCGTTGCAAGACCCCTGGCAGGGGGTCACACAGCACTCAGGCTCTGCCTGGGGTCCTCATGTCCACAGTGGGTCATCCCAAACGCATTCTCCCCTCTTGGCCTCCATCACTGGATTATATCCCTGCTTACTCACAGTTTCCTACACCCACCATTTCCCAGAGACAGAACAATGTATCTATATTCCATCCACAGAGATAACCTGGAGAGAAGGAACAAGACTACAGATGAGCCAGCTCCACTGCCTGCCCCTCAGTTTGATGGCTTTTTCATTGTCTGCCTGGGTTCCCACAATGCGGTGGGAAGGGTGCAGAGTGCATGTGTTGGTGAGATCAAGTGGAGAGAGTGCGCAGTGAGGAATGAGGGCCGGTGGGAACACAGCTTTCTCATGGAATCAGGAGTTGTGGGCAGGCGTGTTTGGCTGAAAGGGGAGAGGTGAGCTCGTTGCTCTTGGACATAGACGTGGGCAGTGGACCTGAGGATTAGGCTGATTAGTCACCTCAGCTTCATATTCATCCATCCATCCATGTGTCAGGCTCCCTCTGCCTCCATCAGACCTCGCTGTCTGTGGGGGTTGGCCACGAACGTGACGAGGCAGCCATGACATGGTGGTGAGGAACGAGATGGGGAGGGACCTGTCAGGAGCTCAGAGAGGCTTCCTGGTCAGCGGCCCCAGCCAAATCCCGAAGGGTGGAGAGAAGTGGGACCAGTGCTCCAGGCTGGGGGACCTGACTGGGTGGGAGCATGATGAGGATGGCTGGGGAGGGTGGATGAGAGGAGCATGATGTTTTAAAATATAATGTATTAGTAGAAAAGTTGAGGTACAGTAGGGCCAACAGATCAAGACAATTGCCATTGACAAGATAGTTTGTTCTTCACAAATCCCAAAGGGAGGGGCCACACCACACCGTGGCTGGGGGGTGAGGGGGGGCTGTTGGGCACACAGGGAAGCATCAGGATCAGTTGGAGAGCAGAGGGCAGCAGGAACTTCTGTTTCTGCAGAAAGGAATGGCAAAGGCAAGGTAAGCAGGCTTAGGTTTGGCTGGTGTGAATAATTTCAGTGGGCTCTGGGCCATAGGGACCGCCCCTAGTTGTCTGGTACCTGACTGGCCCTGGAGTGATTAGGATGGAGGATGGTGGCCAGGAATTTAGGAGCCCTGATGAAGGAGGTAGCTCTGTGTGCTCTGGATTGATTGGTTTGCACCTGAAAATTGCACTTGTGGATGAGTTGTTTACTATTTCTAGGAACTGGCTAACCCTGGGAGGGACAGTGCCCCCAGGGTCAACAAGGCCCAGAAGTCGAAGCATCAGAATCCAGACAACAAAAGACCCGATTAACTCACATGGCTCCGCAGGAGACTGGGTGATGGTGGGAGAGAGGGAAGGACTGATTGAACTGATGATGGCTGTTCCTGAGCCGGCTTCATTACCTGCCCTGTCCAGGGTGCTGGGGACATGGCTCAGATCTGCTCTCAGACAGGTGCGCCCTGTGGCCACACAATGTATGCCCTGGATACCCTGGAGGCAGGGTCAGGCCAAGCACAGAGGGTCCCCCCAGGTGCCTCTACCCTGCAGGCCGGGCTTGTGGGCTCACCTTGCCCTCCTTGCCTGAGCCAGGGTCAGGGTCATGGGCGGGGTACAGATCCAGCTGGGTCAGGATGGCTCCTGCGTCAGTGTGTCTTGTCAGGGAAGAGTCCTTCATGTGTCTCACATTCACCAGCAGTATCTTGGGGAAGCAACGCCCACCCTAAGTTTTCATGAATTCAGAAGGACTGTTTCAGAAACATGTGCCACGGTGCTTATCCAGAGTGCAGAGGCCCTGTGGTGCCCCATGTTTTGCTGCATAGTCGAGAACTGGCAGGCAGGCCTAGCAACAGGTACAGCCCATGGTCTGGGCATGGGAGTTTAAGCCCTGGGTCCTCCATCCTCATTGTGTGACCTTGAGCCATCCTTTACCCCTCGGGTGAGTCACCTAAGTGTCCAACTCAGTTATCCTCACATCCCAGGCTCCTGGCACATGGTACCAGCTTGGGACATGCTGGCGGGTGGAGGACGGAAACCCAGGATCACAGTGGTTCAGAAATGCTAAATGTGCACTTCCTGAAAAGAACAGTCTGCCTTTCAGGCTTTCAGACCAACCTGGCAGTGTTCCCAGCCTTGCTTAGATGCACCAGCGCTCTCCGTGGTACTTATCCTGGTACCAGAGGCAGCCCTGGTCAGGATTGTCCATGGGTACGTGTGGGCTCTGAATTCACTCATGACATGTGACTTTGTGCTTTTAAATGTTTAAACCTCTCTGTTGGATGAAATATTTGTAGGCATTTAAACATATGTTTATAAAGCACTTTAATAATATTAAACATGTTTCTTTTATAATAACACTGAGGCATCAGAGTATAAAATTGTTTATTTGGGATAATTGCACTCTTTTAAATGCTCATCATCATCCATGAGGAAATAAACCAAATATTAGAGGGACAGCTTCTGAGTGGTGGAATTAAGGGTGATTTTCCTGTCTTTCTGCTTTGCCTTGTTTTCATATTTTCTACAGTGCGTGTGTGTTGCCTCTGTGCATTTGGTTGGACCCAAGTCTGTGGAGGAGGTGATCCATCACACCAT